GATATATATACTCTCCCTTGTCGGGATATTTTGGGCTGTTAGTTGTACCCTTGTCGGGTTAAAGGTATTGAGTTGTTATCCTCCCCTGAAGGGGTCTACTATATGAAATCAGATATTATATATGATATTATGGGATCGTGTGGCACGTCGTCCATATATATATGATATTATGGGATTGTGTGGCACGCCATCCACTTACATATGATATTATGGGATCGTGTGGCACGCCGTCCACTTACATATGATATTATGGGATTGTGTGGCACACCGTCCACTTATATATGATATTATGGGATCGTGTGGTACGCCATCCACTTATATATGATATTACGGGATCGTGTGGCACGCCGTCCACTTATATATGATAGTATGGGATCGTGTGGCACACCGTCCACTATATATATATCATGGAAACCAGAGTTCCTTCTGTTTATTTCCGATATTCTATTTTTATCTGTTGCTCCCCGATAGTATGTCCCCTCCCAGCTTTACTTTGTATTATCTTGTTATTGTTTTTTCTTGCACTCGTTATATATATCTGTACAGGTTAATTGTGGTAGGTCATGTCTAGCCTCGTCACTACTTCGCCGGGGTTAGGCCAGACACTTACCAGCACATGGGGCCGGTTGTGCTGATGCTACACTCTGTGCATTTTTGTGCACATATCAGGGAGCAGCTTTCGGACCGCAACAGTAGGACTTTTGGGAGCTATCTTCAGTCCAGGGACTCTCAAGGTAGCCTAGCTGGCGTTCGCAGACCGAAATCCCTTTCCATGTTTTCTCGTTTGTTTATCTTGTATCAGACAAACATGATGTATTATCCTTCAGATATTGTTGTAGCATTCTGTAGTAGTCCGTGAGCTAGTGACACCAAACTCTGGGTAGCATTTTGGTTCAAACTTCCGCACTTTTGGTTTTCAGTTGTTTTAAATTTAAAGTCTTCCGCTTAGATTTTGTCTCGCTTATTATATTGTTGAAAGAAAGTAGGAAAGGTGTTTTAAACTTTTGGATTGCCTAGCTCCGATAGTAGGCGCCATCACGACACCCGATGGTGGGAAATCCGGGTCGTGACAGCTTTTAAGCTGGACAAATTAGTTTTTAGTTTCTTTTATTTTTTTTATATATTTGATAAAGTTAAAAAAGTGCTTAAAATAAGTTTAAAACTGTTAAAACAAGCCAAAAACAATAAGTTGGAATTGTTACGACTTATTAACTTAAAAATTATTCTGCCGAAAAATCACTTTTTTTAAGCTAATCCAAACGGGCTCTAGGAGAGATCAGATTTAAATGGAGAAATTGACATCGGGTGACAACATATAATAGGAATTGATATTTTTAGCCTTAGATTACATTTGACAGAGGCAACCCAAAAATTTAGCATTTTATAGAGAAATCCAAAAAAAAGAAAAATACTTCCCTATTTAGCGAACCCTAATCTCCTTCGCCTCACTACCATTTCAAAAGCACTCTCCGCCTCATCACATTTTTTTAAATGAGCTTGAGAATTATTAGATAGACAATTCATATTGCAGGTGCAACAACAACATACTCAGTATTAGATAGCCTCATCTCATATATATATTTGTGCATATCCAAAAGAAATTATATGTTATACACTAATATAACATTGTTGTATATCGTGATATATATTGTTAGATTTGGCAATATAAGGTTAAATCGAAATCAAATCGTCCAATTGATATTAAGAGGGCGAAATTCATTCTGAATAAACTTACTTTAATGTTGTTATTGATCAGAAAAGGAAAATAAATTTTTGATATAACATGTTTAAACAAATTCTAAAATATAAAAATAATAAATATAATTATGGGAGTAAATAAAATTTGGGTATACAAAGAAAATAAATTTTTGATACACAGAAAGAAGAAAAATAAACTTATGGTATGTATTTATATATAAATAATACAACATTTTTATTATGATATACATTGATATAAAGGCAGCAATAACTATATATATAATTTTATATTATTGATGTACAACTAATAATACTATTGATATATAAAGAATGAAAATAAAATTATAATATACATGTTTATATACACAAAGAAGAAGAAAAAAGTGATATACATATTATTATTGTGATATATATTTATTGGCTATTTGGTGCTAATATCTATAATTATGATAATTTTTTGCTAATTATATGGGTACGTTGTTACCATGCCAAAATATCAATTAAACGGCCTCTAACACCATTGAAAAGGAAGGTACTAAAGATTATGCAATAATAGTTCTGATATATCATATTGCTGAAATTCTTTTGACATTAATTGTTTCAGCCATTGATGCTATATACAATGAAAAAGAGCAATTCAATATAGCTGAAACATCAACTTATAAAACTTTTTGGATAAAGTGAGTTAAAGGACTTGTCACTTGGCAATTATATAGCAATGCATTATGTGCTTTGAGGATATACACATGTGAATTTAAGATTTGAAGTTAATGAGTTTTAACAGCGATCTCGTGTTAATTAATATTATTCCCTCCGTTTCAATTTATGTGAACCTATTTGACTGAGCACGGAGTTTAAGAAAAAATAGAAGACTTTTGAATTTGTGGTGTAAGATGAGGCACATATATTTTGTATAGATATAAATCATTGCATAAAGGTAAATTGTTTCCAAATAGGAAAGGGGTCATTCTTTTTGGCACGGACTAAAAAGAAAATAGGTTCACATAAATTGAAACGGATGGAGTATTATAATAATTAAATCCACATTAAAATATTTCTATATATTTTAATAAATTTCTTAATATTTCAGAGCAAAAATTATTGAATTCACGTGAATCCGTAAATAAACATCTAAATTAAATCCTGTATGAAGATGTTAATTAATCCGAAGCTAAGACTTGAGGACCGGGCCTTTTATATGAACTCATGTGAATATGCACATCTGTCTGCGTCCTTATCTTCGTATACTGTTATTATCCAACTTAGATAATGTATTAATGGATTACGGAATCGTAATATTCTCTGGCACCATATTGAATATGCAGTTTCTGATTTTTGCTTTGTTTGGCTTTACTTATTTTTATTAGCTCCTATTCGTCCTCTATGATTGGGCGCATTTAGTGAGAGCTGTAATAGGCCCTCATATTCCCTTTTCTTTGTCCTTCTTTTGTTTGATTGTTTTTTCCTTTTTCCTAGCAAACAGCGAGAGAACAGTATTATCCAATAAGAACTACTAACCTTTAGATTGGACAAAGTTAGATGAAGTGAAACAAGAATGACAATCACGCTCTTCAGTTCAATACTTCACTGTTCCAAAAAACAAATGAAGAAGATAAAAAATAAAAGAGAGATTAATGGTCTCGAATTCAAAAAGTAGTACTTTATCTGCTTTTTTAAAGGTAGTTATATCAAGAAAATTTATCAACAAAGAAAAAGAATATTAGATATATGTATTGGTTTCTTTCACGTATTAAATCGTTACTCAGCACCCCAAACCACATAGTCCACAACAATAAAGGACGTAAAAATAGTACGGGCTAGCTAATTTTCGGACAGGTCATTAAAAAATAGTCAGCGTCTGTCAAGTCATTGAAAAATAGTCACTATTTTGCTGCAACAGAGACCGGTCCAGCATAATATGCTGGAATTTGGTGCATCTGTGCATGAACTTCCAGCATATTATGCTGGAACTCCAACACGCGAAAAGTTCCAGCATAATATACTGGAGATTCGAGCACATATGTATGAACTTCCAGCTTATTATACTGGACCGATATACTTTGCTGGAACTCCAGTATATTATGCTGGAGTTCTAGTATACTTATGCTGAAACTCCATTATATTATGATGGAGTTCCAGTATACTTATGCTGGAACTCCAGTATAATATTGTTGGAAACTAAACCAAGATTAATTAGTATTCCTAAGTTGTCTAGGATTTGATATTTGGTAGTTTATTTAATTCATGTCTAGTTAGGTTTTGTTTACCAATTTTATATTGGAATAGGTTTTTGGTTTTGTAGTATTATAAATAGGGGTGCTACTACTTGTTTTTTTTTTCTTGTAGAGAGATTCAAGAGTTTATGAGTTGTGAAAAACTCTCCTACCAAGTTCTCCCTAATTTAATAAATTTCTTCTATATAGCTTTTGCTAAATTTCTTGTTTGTGCCTAAATTGTTCTTCGGGTATTTTAATCCTTCAAATTGGTATCAAAGCCTGTGTGAGATTCTGTCAGAGTCGATAAAGATCCTAAAAAAAATTATGGATACTCCATATTTACATGATTGCCAAGTTTTCAAGTTTGATGGCAAAAATAATTTTGAAGATTGGCATCAATATATGAAATGTTTTTTCAATGTTGTTGGATTATGGTCCATTGTTGAAACAGGATTTGAGGAACCCCCAAAAGGTACAACATTGACAGGTGATGCAGCTAAGCAATTAGAGAAAAATAGACAATTGGATTATAAGGCACGTTACTATCTCACTAGCAAGGTTGAATTGCATGTATCTAACAAATTTTTGCATGCAAAATCAACTAAGGAAGCGTGGAGAATCTTGGTGAATTCACATCGAGGTTCCGCCGAAGTAAAGAAAGTCAAATTGCAAGACCTAAGGAGACAGTACGAGTTGGCCCAAATGAAACCAATAGAATCCGTTAAAGAATTCATTATAAGAATTACTAATAGTGTCAACGACATGAGGACCAATGGAGAAGTACTAGATGAAGTTAAAGTGGATGAAAAAATATTACGGTCCTTGGGTATAAAATTTTACACGAAGAAGGTGGTTCTTGAAGCTACCAAAGATCATAGCCCTTTTACACTTGATGATTTAGAAGGTGAATTGGTGACATATGAGATGTCCCTGACTCAAGACACCCCCGAAATAGTGGAGGAGGCGTTGCAAGCAAAGGTGAATCAACCTAAAGCAAAAGAAGAGATAAGTTATCCTAAAGAAACAAATCAAAGATACCAGAATTTCAGAGGTAGAGGTCGTGGTAGAAGTAACTATCGAGACAGACGTGGTAGAGATAATTTTTCTTATCAACAAAGAAATAGTAATAATTTCTGGAAGGAACAACAAGGTCATCAAAATTTTCAAAGACATGATAAATCTAAGATTCAGTGCTATAATTGTGGTAAATTTGAACATTATGAAAGCGAATATTGGTCTAATAAATTTGGTAATAAAGACGTACATGCTAAAATGGCTGAAATAATGGGGATAAACAAGAGACTTTATTGTTTTCTAATTCTGGGGTTGAAGAAACTAAAGGGAATGAGTGGTTTATTGATTCGGCTACATCAATCATATGAGTGGAAATAAAAAATTATTCACTGATCTGGATGAAACATTTAGGTACAATGAGACTTGGAAATAACGCAAAGGTGCCTGTTGTTGGAAAGGGAAAAATTCACGTTACTGTGAAAGATAATTCTTCTAATTTTATATTAGATGTATTTTATGTCCCGAGCCTTCATCAAAATTTATTGAGCTTGGAGAAACTATCCGAAAAAGGTTATGATTTGCGTTTTAAATATAGGATTGGCACAATTAGTGATGATGAATTTGGACTAATTGCAAAGTTTAACCTGAACAATAGTTGTGTGTGGCCTCTTTATCTCAATAGTGATGATTTACCTTACTTTAGTTTTATAAACTGTGATGATACTTGGTTGTGGCATCTACGTCTTGGTCATTTTAATTTTGGGAGTTCGAAATTTCTTGCAAGAAAGAACTAGGTTGATGGTTTGCCTTCTATTGATTTTCCTGACAAGAAGTGTGAGTCGTGTATTTTGGGAAAGAAGTACAGAGAATCTTTTCAGAAAGGCAGCGCTTGGAGAGCTAATTCACCATTGCCGTTAATTCATTCAGATTTGTGCTCAGTTGAAGTTTCTTCAATGGTGGTAGTAAGTATTTTAATACTTTTATTGATGATTTCAGTCGAAAGACTTTGGTATATTTTTTGAAAAATAAATCTGATGCATGTAATATTTTTAAGAGCTTTAAAGTTTATGTGGAGAATCAAAGTGAGTGTTTTATTAAAATATTGAGGACTGATAGGGGCACTGAATTTCTTGTTTGTGATGATTAATTGAAGAAGTATGGTATTAAGCATCAATTGACAGCTAGATATACACCTCAACAAAATGGTGTGTCTGAAAGAAAAAATAGAACAGTGATGGACATGGTGAGATCTATGATGCATTTCAAAAATATTCCAAAAGGTTCTAGGGCATAAACTGTTTCCTGTGCAATTTATGTACTAAATATGTGTCCTACACGGTCTAATTTTGGAAAAACTCCACAAGAGGTATGGACAGGTAAGAAACCAAATATTTCTCATCTAAAAGTATTTGGTTGTCTTGCTTATGCTCATGTTCTTGATGCTTTGAGAACGAAATTGGATGATAAAGCTGAAAAATATATTTTTATTGGTTATAGTCATGAGACAAAGGGTTATAAGTTGTTTAATCCAGATACAGGAAAAGTGATTATTAGCAGAGATATTACTTTTGATGAGCAGAGTTCTTGGGATTGGTCAAAGAAGGATCCTGAACCATCTAGGTCTCAACCAATAATTCCAGTCATAGAGGAAGGAAGTTCTAGCAGACATCAGGAAGAACATGTAGTAGATACTGTTCAAGCAGAGACGTCTAGTTGCCCGCAAAGACAACACGAATTATCGGTTTGTTTGCAAGATTATGTTGTTGGCAATGATAATGATTTATCGGATGAAGATATTGTAAATTTTGCCTTATTTACAGATTGTGATCCAGTTACTTTTGAGGAAACTGTTAAAGATGACTGATGGGTTCATGCAATGAATGAAGAAATTCACGTTATTGAGAAAAATAATACATGAGAATTGACTATTTTACCGCCCTCAAAAAGACCAATTGGAGTCAAGTGGGTATACAAGACCAAGTTCAAACCAACTGGAGAAGTGGATCGTTTAAAGGCGAGATTAGTTGTTAAAGGATACAAGCAGAAGCAGATAGTGATTGGGCTGGTGATACAATACAAATAAAAAGTACTTCTGGCTATGCATTTTATTTGGGTTCTGGTGTATTTTCTTGGTCTTCCAAAAAGTAACAACTTGTTGCTTTATCAACAGCTGAAGCAGAGTACATGGCTGCAATAAGTATTGCTACACAAGCATTGTGGTTAAGAAGAATGCTTGGATTCTTCAACACAAGCAAGACAGTTCTACAACAATATTTTGTGATAGCAAGTCTGCAATTGAGTTAACAAAGAATCCAGTTTTTCATGGGCATAGCAAACACATTGATATCAAATTTCACTTTATTTGTGACTTGGTTCAAGACAAAGAGATAGTTATTGAGTATTGCAAGACTGGAGAGCAAGTTGATGATGTTTTCACAAAGCCACTAAAATTGGAGTTATTCATCAAGTTGAAGAAGATGTTGGGCATGATCAAATTTGAAGATCTTAGTTTAAGGGAGGCTGTTGGAAACTAAACCAAGATTAATTAGTATTCCTAAGTTGTCTAGGATTTGATATTTGGTAGTTTATTTAATTCATGTCTAGTTAGGTTTTGTTTACCAATTTTATATTGGAATAGGTTTTTGGTTTTGTAGTATTATAAATAGGGGTGCTACTACTAGTTTTTTCTTGTAGAGAGATTCAAGAGTTTATGAGTTGTGAAAAATCTTCTTACCAAGTTCTCTCCCTAGTTTAATAAATTTCTTCTATATAGCTTTTGCTAAATTTCTTGCTTGTGCCTAAATTGTTCTTCGGGGTATTTAAATCCTTCAAATATGCTGGAGTTCCAGTATACTTATGCTGGAACTCCAGTATAATATATTGGAGTATTTTTCGGATTTTGAATAGTGTTTTCGTTCAGATTTATATTTGCATAAAAAATGACTACATTTCGATTACTTTTGAAAGTGTAGCTATTTTTAAATGACCACTTGTAAATCTAGCTATTTTTTAATCTCTCCCATAAAGGAGAGACGCAATGGTATTCTTTCGGCCCAGATTTATATGGAGAAAATCTCACTTTATACCCATTAATTTCAAACTATGTACCCTTTAATTCCCAGGAGCAAACTATATACTACTCCTACCTATGCTGCCCAAATTATTTATTGGGTTATTTTCCAATAATCTTACGCCTGTTTGCGACTTGTGGCTTTGGAAGTTCATCAACTCCTCGAACTGGCATGAGTGACTCATTCGGGTTTGGCTGATTGATTAACAAACTTGGTGGAGAATTCGGAATCTCCTCATGTCTTTTTTAAGAAATGAAGATTAACATAACTTCTGAGTAAAGACGACATGCACAAATAGTGAAAACTAAAATGTATGGAGAAGGAATGATGTTATAAATAGCTAATAAACATAGACACTTGATATTTTGACTATTGAATACCTTCTTCTTTCTCTTCATCCAAATTGGTTTTTGAAGATTTATTGAACAAAAATTCAAATCCACCATTAAAGTTTGAAACTCATAACTTGGTTTGTTTGGGTTTTTAATTATTCTTTATCCGATCCTATATGGGTTTGTTTGGAAAGTTGATTGGGGGTTGTAGCTAAAGTTTTAGTTAATTTGGTGGAGATTTTGTAGTAGATTTTAGAAGTTTGGGTTGAAATATAATTGAACAAGAGAAGAAGACGAATTTGTATTGTATACTCAAATAGTACACAAATATACCATTTTGGTATACAATTCATTCCAACTATATACCCTATTAGTATAACAATATACTATATTGGTATCATATGCTAGTGAATCATTTTTTGGTTGTATTAGCTGCATTTATTAGTACACTATTTAATTTTCTTTTAATAATATTAATATAGTACAATATCTTGAAATACTTTATTATATTAATATGTGGTACACTATTTTTTTTTATTTTTCTCATTATGCATGTGTGTTATGTAATAGTAGTATAGTCATATAGTTACCGGGAATTAAACAGTAAAACTGTATACCATGTTGGTATAGTTATATGTCATACTGGTATCATATGGTAGTTTGAATATTTTTTTGGTTGTTTTGGCTACATTTTTAAGTGAATTCTATTCTGAAATTATTTATATGAACGTGATTTGCAGTGCTGGAATTTTTTTGTGCTGATGGAATATAGATTATGTGTATTATGTAATAGTTTTTATAATTATAGGCAATTGTTGGAACAAACCATACAACTATATACCCTGTTAGTATATGGAATGAGCAAGTTGCTTTGCGAATATATAGCTTGCAATGCGAGCATATAATTTTCTCATACTTTTATTGTATCCTTTAATGTTTTGGTACAGTAGTATAGTCATAGATAATTGTAGTAATATTCTAGAGCAATCATATACTCTGGTGGTATACATGTATACCATATTGGTATCATATGGTACTAGAAGTCTTTTTTTCTACTTATATTTTTATTGCCTTTTCCAATATTTTATTATCATTTCTATTTTCACTAGTATATATGGAGATTTAGTGGCCGTAGATTATGTTTTCTTGCTCCATCACTGGTTGGTGCTACTGCTAATGGTAGAGTATGTACTGATATTTGTAGTGAAGGAGATCAAGGTTTGCATGACAATTATGTGGAATTAAAAAAAGAATAAGAAATAAGGAAAAAATAAAAATAAAAAAATAAAGAAGGAGTCAAATTTGAGTGTGAAATAAGTTATGGTAAAAATAACGATAATACGATTTGGGCAAAAATAAATGATAAAAGAGGAAAAAAAGAGAGGAAAAAAAGAGAGGAAGAAAATGAGAAAAAAGAAAAGGAGAAAAGAAAGAAAAAAAGGAAAAAAGAAAAGAAGCATAGAAATAAAAAAGAATTGGAGAATAAAGAAAAAATTCTCCACAAAAACTACTATGGATAGGAAATGTAATTAATTTATGGGTAGAAAAATAAATGGGTAGGCAAGAGTAAATAGTTTTGTTTTTGTGGATAATTGTATCAAAACTCCCATTTATATGAGGTCCAGAAGATTCTCCTGAGCCATTTAGCAGTCCTTTGAGGTGTACACAAAGGTACAGTATTAAGGCCCAAGACGTCAACTTATTCAAAACCCCAAAAAAGAAATAATGCGTCCAACGAAAAAGAGAAACGCCCACCGTGGGGCTCGAACCCACGACCACAAGGTTAAGAGCCTTGCGCTCTACCAACTGAGCTAGACGGGCTTGTTGTCCAACTACCTTATCATATGTCTAACAAAAGGTAATACCGTCTATTCTTTCACTTGAGAATTGCTAAATCCTTTTAAGTATCATTTTACAGTTTAACCACTTTTAGCTTTAACTTGCTTTAAAAACCTCTCCTTTTTGTCCAAGGGAT